AAGTGTCAAGCTTTTGTATTTAAATGAATTACTATTTTTTACACAAATTAAAACAAGGGATGTGTTTAGGTAAAAAATAATGCTCTATTTCTGAAGAGGTCTTATAACTGCAACTTGTCTGTAAATTGCTGCAGAAGGTGTTGCTTTGGATGGAGATGATCCTGAACACATACAGTGGATTTACCAGAAGTCTTTGGAAAGAGCATCACAATTTAATATTAAAGGTGTTACGTACAGACTCACCCAAGGTAAGGGTATGACACTTGGCTAGTTAATGCAGTTATCCTGGATTGGCATTCTTTGCATTTATTGAAGCTAAGCTGGCAGCTGTGCTGGGAAAGAAATAGTGCTCTTTTCCACTTAACATCTTAAAACAGAAACAAGCAACTCATCTCCTGTGCCAGCACAAATATTTTATGATGAATCAGATGTTTAGATGTGAGTGATGATTCATAGGAACTTCATCTGGGACAAAACTGAACATTCTTTTTGCCATTTTATTTTTAACCTGGAGCAACTGCTACCACATTTTCTAGATCAAAAAGTAGGAGCAAAAGAATGTGATTTGGCTCTTTTAGCAACAGCAGCAGTTTATGCCAGTTTATGCTGCGTAAGACTGTAGCAGGTAGGTTTCTGGCACAGATAAATGTAAACTCCACTTCTGAGATATAGATGTATATGTGCAAATGCCTGCACAGTTTTGAAGCATTTGAAAACAGCTTCTTTTTCAGATACACAGCAGAAAGGAGCTGAAGCTTCAAGTTTTATGTGTATTTTCTTGGGTATGAAGGCAATACAGTTAGTCAGTAGCAGCAAGCCAGACTGCTTAGGAATTTGCTGTCTTTTTTGGAAGGCCTGAAAAATGAAAAGGGAACCTCTTTCTTTTTTAGTACAAACCTGTATGTATAGGAAAGCTTGCTAGATACTGGTCTACGTACTGTGCTGTTTGACTGGATGGACTGACTCAGAATTGGGTGAAAGTATAGATACAGCTTGGCAAGTTTGTTCTTGCACAGGGAATATCACATACAAGTTTTTCTCCTTGCATTTTTCCAGTTAACCAGCAATAGAACTGAGTTTTACATTAATTTCTGCTGCTAAATAAATACAGCGTACTTGTATTTTAGAGTTTATTCACTAAAATAAATAATATGCCAAAGTACTTGAGCAGCCTGCCATTATACTTTATTGGTATAGAAATTCCTGGAAAGTGCTTGAAGTGTCTTTGGATACACCCTTCTGTAATTATTCTAGCTAAAAATAATCTTTCTCTATAGTTCTGGAAAAAGACAAAGCTATATATGTTTTGTTTTTACAGGGGTTGTAAAGCGAATTATTCCAGCAGTAGCTTCTACAAATGCAGTAATTGCAGGTAGGCTGGAAGAACCAGAATGTCATTTCTTACTCATTTCACCTATCCTTTATCAACTTTTTATTTTTTGTAAGGTAGAAATAGGAAACCTGGGGAGGAATAACTATAGTTTTCAAATGGGAGTAACTTATACTTACAGTCTTACTGTTGTTTCCCACTTGGAGAAACTGAATTATTGTGTATGAATTTTAAGCTCATGTGTGACAGGGAGTGAGCGAGAGCATTTCAGATATGAGAAAAATAAAAATTGGAAATACAGTATGTAGGTTTAACATAATCTCAGATTAGTGCCAACTGTGTGGCGGTAGTGCATGGAGCTGCCTTCAGGTGCTTGTTTTTCCCCTTCTGAAGTTGTTTTGGTTGCTTCTTTGTTACAAGTTTGTGCACTAATGTCTGCATGTTCTAAGATGGATGTAAAAAAACAAACAAATTGGTTTTTGTTGTTTCTTTTTTTCTGATTCCAGCTGTTTGTGCCACTGAAGTTTTTAAAATAGCCACAAGGTATTTCATTTCTTACTAATTACATACATGGCTTCCAATGTAAGGACATGTATTAACATGAAATGTGTTTGTCATTGTAGTGCATACATTCCTCTCAACAACTACTTGGTGTTCAATGACGTGGATGGATTATACTCGTACACATTTGAAGCTGGAAGAAAGGTCAGTGCCATGAAAGGCTTGCAGGGTTATTTCTTTGATTGTTATTGAACTTACTGCAGTTTGTTTGTGTTTGAAACTCACTCACTATTGAACTTCTCTGGTCCCTGGCACTATACTCAAGTATTTTCAAAGTTTTAAAAGCAGAAATTATACTGTTATTACTCTAGTTCTTTTCTAGGATATTGTTTTCAGCATGCAGGATGTGGAATTTTTTATTGTTCTAAACCTTGTATGCTTTTGGGGTGGTGTTTTGTCCATGTAGCATAAGGAAGTTGGAGTGTTAATCTCCAGATCAACAGATACCCTGTTTGATGCCCTTAGAACAGAAGATTTTCTTCTACTCACCAATTTACCAAAAACTGTTGCATACTATATGTAATGACATATTTAATTTTTGCCTGCTCAGCCAAAGTTTCCTAATATTTCAAAAAGTAGTTTCTGGTACAGGGGCATTCTTCAGTCAGTTACTCTGTAGTCAGTGCTGGTACTACGTTGGCATCTGAAGGGTTTGTGATGTGACCTGTGGATGAAAACAGTCCTTGACTTTTTTGAAAGCGAATCCTGAAGATTTCACTTGTTCTATGCAAAGCACAGCTTATGGAATAAAATACAGTCTTAAGAACACTCAGAAGCAAATCTTCTCACAAAAGGTTATGACAGCAGTTGTTTTGAAAGACACAACCTGTGCTCCTGTGGTGCTCTGTTGTAGGAGAACTGTCCAGCTTGCAGCCAGCTTCCTCAGAACATTGAGATTTCTCCATCAGCTAAACTGCAAGAGATCTTGGATTATTTGACAAATAATGCTTCATTGTAAGTAAGCAACTATTCTGACTTATCTAATAATTTTAGGTAATTTTTACTTATATTTTTGTATCTGGGTTTTTTTGTTTGTTTGTTTGTTTTGTTTTTAAATGTTTTTTATATAGGCAAATGAAATCTCCTGCAATCACTGCAACCATGTATGGAGGAAATAAAACACTTTATTTACAGGTAAACAAAACCTGCTTAATTTTGTTACATAGTTTTATTTAAAGTTACATGCCTGAATTTGACATGAAATATTTTGACTTTTTTCAGACAGTAGCTTCAATTGAAGAACGAACAAGGCCAAATCTTTCCAAAACACTAAATGGTAACATACTGTTGTTGTCACATGTAGGTTTCCAAGGTACACTTGTAAATAGAAAGATAGTCATTTGGTTTCGCCCCTCTGTACGGCATGTGTTGCTTCATTGTCAAGTGCAGCTTGCTCTTTTTAGACTGTTCTGAGGTGAATTTTCAGTTGCTGCACCAGGAGGTATTACAAAAAGCTGTAACAAAGCAAGCTGATAACTGATGTAGGCTAAAGGTGCTTTAGTGGTTGCGTGTGTAGGTTTTGATAAGTTCTGTTAGTTTCCCAGCTGAATTAGATGAATATTGGTTTAGCTAGTGAGTAATTCGCAGCTTTATTTCATTGTGTGTATGGTTTGTGTGAAGGACGTTCATATCTCTCTATTTTTAAACGTGGATTTGCTATATTTAAACTTCTCTTTCTGTTTTAGAGCTGGGACTTGTTGATGGCCAGGAGCTTGCAGTTGCTGATGTTACTACGCCACAGACGATGCTGTTCAAACTCCACTTTACCACTTAATTTATGCATAAATAAGCAGGTTATACAGCGAGGGAAATCTGTACCCACTTCGTAAAACAAATGTACTCTGTGGATCTTAAATTAACTGAAAAGTTCATGCTAGTACTGGCACTGCTGAAGGTTAGGTAATACAAATGAATCACCATATTTCAGAATTTTAAGTAGAAGCCAATATTTGGTGGATTGTATTTGTATAAATACTTATTAATGTACAGAACTCGGATGTATAGGAATACACTTTTTCCCAAGTTTTTGTGTCAAAATGTTAATGCTGATACGCTTTCAGACACATGGAAATTGTAGAGTGGCCAAAAGTCTTCTTGTCTTTTTAATTTTTAACATATATGCATACATGTATATGCAGAATGAGACCTTTAAGAAAGAACCGCTGCGCCTGGATTCAAATCACAGCACTCCTGAATGCTTGCTGCCACTGTAAATCCAAGAGAGAGCAGTAGAACTAAAATGATCAATTTCCTTTTATTTGATACTGAGATTTGCCCAATTGTATGAAATGTGTGAAGTATTGAAGAGATTACTTTGTTTGCAAGTAAACATAGAAGGGTGAATGAAAACTGCCTGAATTTAGGGACATGTCTGTTTGCAGTCACCCATCAGCTGCTGCATGCAGTACTGCAGAATTATGTTCAAGTATCATCAGTGCTGTTAACATATTTATTAATAAAAACCCATAAAGGTACCGTAGTTTGTGACTTATTTAATAGTGTGTAGAGCCACAGTTCAAAAAAACACATCTTTTGTCTGCTTTAGCCGCATCTTTCTTATTTCATAGTTGTTCAGTGTTGAGGAATGTTAAAAGGAGCATTGCAGGCTGTGGGAGCAGTCAGTTCAGGTACCGAGCTTTATAAAACTCTATTTGTGGTATGCTTCCTGCTGCAACCAGCAGCCGAAGGAGGCATTAAGGAGGGGTAAGTGCATATGAGCCTCCAGTGTATGTCTGGAAGATGGAGGGGACGGTAGAAGAGGCAGCGACGGCCCGGCAGGCCGCGACACTTCCAGGAACCACAGACAGCCCTCCTGGTGACAAGCGCTGAAGCGGAAGCGGCCCCTCACCGCCATGACAGGTACCGAGGCGGAAGTAAACGTGATGTTCCTTCCGCCATGACAGGTACCGAGGCGGAAGGCCTCGCTCGGTCTCGCTCCGCCTCGCGCGACGTGTCGGAGGGCCGGCTGGCGGCTGCGCGAGGGCTGTTTGCGACGTGGAGCGTGCGGGCGCGCAGGCGCGGAGCCGAGCCCGGGGTCGCCGGCTTCGCTGCTGCCGGGGAGAGGGCCCTGCGGGCCGGGGGGTCGCGGCCGCGGCCTCGCCTGTGGCCCGGGGCTGCCGCCTCCGAGCGGGAGCGGGCGGCGCCGAGGATGAGCTGGTTCAACGCCTCGCAGCTGTCCAGCTTCGCCAAGCAGGCGTTGACCCAAGCCCAGAAATCTATCGACCGGGTGTTGGACATCCAGGCCGAGGAGAGCCCCTGGCCCGACGCCGTCATCCCCGACTACGGCGACGGTGAGCGGGGCAGCGGCGAGGCCTGGGCTTACAGTGCGTGGGGCGGCTCCCCTCACGGCCTCCCCTCTTCCCGGACCCTATGAACCCTACGTGGGCTCATCTCCCCTGCCCCTCTCCTCTTGGAAATCCTCTGTCTCGGAGTTATTGCCGTAATTTTGTATGGCTTCTTTCAGGCCTTGCTCAAGTTACTGTTTAAGATGGAGAGAGAGCGTGTTTGCTTTGCTCGGATGCTCTTACTTGCTGGAGGTGTCTCGGTCCACCTTAAGTCCTTGAATTACTTTGTCTTCCTTCTTTTATTTTGTCTAAAAATCAGCTCCAAGCTTTGGTAAGAAGTGTTAACCAAAATGATGCTGTTTGTGATCATATTAATATTTGCTTTATATGATGCTGAAAACTTTTCTTCTGAACCTGTTGCATAGTTGTATAAGAGATTGAAAAATTAATAATTTCGAGCTTTTCTTGGTCTACATCTTTGTGCTTTTTAATTGTTTCAGGAACAAATTCTCTTATAAGTGGAGGATGGGATACTTCTTCTTGGGGTTTAAGTTCAAATACAGAACCACAGAATCAGCCAGTATCACCAACTGCAATCACCAAACCAGTGAGGAGAACAGTAGTAGATGAATCTGAAAACTTCTTCAGTGCCTTTCTCTCTCCAACGGATGTTCAGAGCATACAGAAAAATCCAGTGGTGTCCAAACCTCCGGCCAAATCACAGCGACCCAAGGAGGAGGTGAAAAGCACTTTAAAAGAGCCTCAGCACTTCAGTCAGCTGGAAGTACTGGTGACTACAGAAGCAGAAGTAAAAGATTCCTCTGTAGGTGGCCTAGCAGACTTGAAAAACATTGATAGCTCAAAGGAGAAACCAGAAGAGAATTCTGTGCTTAAATCTAATGCTGAGCGTGAAGAAAGCACAAATGAAGTTGCTGACGAAAAGGCGTCTGCTCTCAATTTGAAAGAACCTGAGGATGCTCTTAATGAAAAATCCAGTGTGGGGACAGATAGAACTGGAGATGCACTGGGTAGCAACTCACAGCCTCTTAATACAGGTACAAAAGATGTGGGCTTGGAAACTAAAGAACAAAAAACTGAGGACAGGCAGAGCAATACACCGTCACCCCCAATAAGCACTTTCTCCTCAGGAACATCCACAACTAGTGATATTGAAGTTTTGGACCATGAAAGTGTAATAAGTGAGAGCTCAGTCAGTTCAAGACAAGAAGCTGCAGATTCCAAATCCAGTCTTCATCTAATGCAGACATCATTTCAGCTTTTATCTACATCTGCCTGTGCAGACTATAATCGTTTGGATGACTTTCAAAAAATGACCGAAAGCGGCTGCTCCTCTGATGCCTTTGAAAGAATAGATTCATTTAGTGTACAGTCTTTAGATAGTAGAAGTGTAAGTGAAATAAATTCAGATGATGAGTTATCAGGCAAGGCTTGTGCTTCAGCATCTGTTGCTATCAGTCCTTCTGCGCCAAAGACAGAAACAGTTGCCACCCTGAAAAGTAAATCTGAAGATGTGAATGACAGTCCTGTGGTACACACTGAGGAAGCTGAGATGGAAGAGAGTGGGAGAAGTGCAACACCTGTTAATTCTGAGCAGCCAGATGTTTTGGTGTCTGCTGTGCAAACTGAGGAACAGGTTGGGAAAGAGGAGACTGAGCCTCAGCCCAATGCTGATGGAGAGGTGCTGGAAGGGGACTCTGAAATGGAAAAGCTTAAAAAGGTAAGCACAGAAGTTTTGCAAACACACCTGATTCCAAGCTGATCTCCCGTCATCTCGTGTTAGACATATTAGCCTTACCTCAGCTGAACTGATTAATACCGAATGAACTTAATTGTAGATAATTATTTAATATTCTGCAGTGGAAAAATATTGCTGAAATTTCTGGTCAAATCATTTTGGATTTCGCTTGTGTTCAGTTACCGGTGTTGAGAGTTAGAATCATAGAATCATAGAATCACTAAGGTTGGAAAAGACCTAAAAGATCACCCAGTCCAACCGTTCAAGTTCAAACCGTTCAGTTGTGTCTGGTGCAGGCAAACAGGAAGTACTGACAAGTCAAATGTATCAACCGATTAAATTAATACAAATTCCTTTTTTTCTGTGGGAGTTGGAAGAGATTTCTTGAGGTATTTTAATTTGGTTTGTGAAACTGCAAGCCTTTAGTATTTCATCAGTAAACTGGGGAGTTTTTTTGCAAGCATTTTTTCACCCAGGTTTGCAAACTGTCAAGGTCTGATTACGTTGCAGTAGCATTACTTGTGATCTTTGAGGTCAGTGGCAGTGTAAATTGCTTTGTTCTAGATAAATTCATGTGTTAGACATAATCTGTACTTTAAAAAAAAAGGTTTGTTAGGCATTAAATGGAGAAGAAAGTCATACATATTGAATAGGAGACATTTGAATGGCTAGTTTAAATAGATGGAGTGTCCTTCACGTTTACTTGTTCCTGTGTGGAAGGCTGAACTTGAGCTTTCTGCACTGTTTTATTTGGCCCATTTCCTTTGTCACCTTCCTGCCCTTCTGTTCTTGTCTTTACATTCCAGCATGCCTGGGCACATTTTACTCTGTTTTTTCCTTCTGCGTTTTGTTTCAGGCAGTGTTTTGCACAGTATGTGACATAGGTAGGCCTTGCTCCTGGCTGTGTCCTGCTGGCATGTTTGCCATACCAGTGCTGTCTCTAATGCTAATAAGGGAGAAACAATTGCATATGGGGCTCATACAGCCACAACATGATTTGCATTTTAAGGAAAGCTTTTTTTGTTTCTTTAAATTGTAGAGAATATCAGTGCAAATTCCTTAGGGAAACTCCACAGTCATGGAATCTCCTTAGGTTTACATAAGTCTGCATAAGTTTTCCTAATGCACTGAATAGTTGTTAATGGACCACAGCAAATGTTGTCTTTCCCTGACCATGTAATGCCATTCATTAATAGAATCAGTTTGATTTCTTTATGTTTTTATATGTTTGTGTTATTTCCCTCTATTTAGCTTTCAAAAATCTGATGTTAGATGATTTTTTTATCAGCTCCACACCCGTGTGAAGGTTTGTTTTCCTCATCCAATATTGACATTTCACAGAAGAGACCTCTTCAAATGTGAATCATTCCTTGACTTTGTAAAGAGTGGGATGAGGAGCACAGTGTTAGTCTGAGTGTTTAACATCAGCTGTAGTTCTATAGGTCACCAGCTCTGTTTAAAAGCTTCGCAATTAAATGTAACTGCTGCTCATTTTGTCGAGGAGCTCAGCTGAGCCATATGTGCTCTCTTAGAAAGGTTTTTACCTCTAGGATAGAAATCTTGTGTTTAGAAATGACTCAGTTCTGAGTAAATGTAGCAAACGCGTGGTGATCTTCTAGCTTCATGTTCCTGAAAACCTTGAGAAGTTTGAAAGTCAACTCTTTGAAAGGGTAGATAACAGCAGGACAAGGGGAAATGGTTTTCAGCTGAGGGAGGGAAGATTCAGGTTGGAAGTCAGGGGGAAGTTCTTTGCTATGAGAGTGGTGAGGTACTGGAACAGCTGCCCAGAGAGGTTGTGGATGCCCCATCCCTGGAGGTGTTCAAGGCCAGTTGGATGGGGCCCTGGGCAGCCTGGGCTGCTATGAAATGGGGAGGTTGGTGGCCCTGCATGTGGTGGGGGAGTGGAGATTCATGATCCTTGAGGTCCCTTCCAACCCTGGCCATTCTGTGAGGGAATGATGAGAGGGGAAAGGGGAAACCTGCTATTTCTGTGTTTTCATTGTCCCATTAATCCAATCTTGATCTGTAAAAAACACTGTCCAGATGATTGATTCGTTAAATGAGAAACTGGAGAAGAGAGAAACACAGTTACTGAGTACAAGTAAAGAGAAGGCGCGGCTGGAAGAAGCTTATGATAACCTAAAGGAGTAAGTATGGAAGTATACACAGGCGTTGGTCTAGCTGTAACTTTGTTGTAATGCACACAGTAGGTGAAATGGTAAAACATGTACTAGGTCTCACCAGAACAGAGGCTGTGAGGGATATGCAGTATTTGGGGCAGGTGGAAGTAGTGCTTGCACGTGCTGTGACAGTATTTCTTAAAGTTGTTATTTCTTGTGGCTGCAACTTCTTTTGGGAGGGCCAATGAAAGAGGCTTCAGTGAGGAATGGGAATCAGATGTACGGTCAGATTTTGATGTTAATAAAGATCCTTATAGTAAGACTGGGATCTGCTATTAAGGGAAACTGCTCTGGTACAAAGAGATGAACTTGATTTACTGTGGCATTTGCTGACTAAAACACAGGCAGTGGAAGCACAGTAGGAGGGCTGGTTGTAACTAAAATATGAATTCATTATTTAACTCAAGATAAAATGCAAAATGAAAAGTTGAATTTGCCAGTTTTACTCATCAAATATGAATTCTAGACATTTGCAGGTAATATGCAAAGGTATTACCTAATGACTAAATTGATCTTAACTTAAAGATGTATGTATTCATTTCCCCTGTATATGATACAGATTAAGAGGTTATTTGGGAATAACTTGATTAAGGGGCAAAACTCGTAAGGCCTATTTAGCATCTTGTTGCTTTCACTGGTAACTTAGTGGATTAATAAAGGTCTTTGATTGGTACTTCTTATGGATGTGTGTAAAAATCATAAACATATTTTAAAAGCATTTAAACTGCTGCAAAATGTTTGGAATGTCACATCTCTGTAAAACCGTTCTGAAATGTTAATTTTAAATGCAGTGAAATGTTTAGAATGAAAGAAGAAACCAGCAGCATTTCATCTCTTAAGGAGGAGTTTGCACAGCGAATAGCAGATGCTGAAAAGAAGCTCCAGCTAGCATGCAAAGAAAGAGATGCAGCTAAAAAGGTAATCAGCTTTTATTGAAACAAATCCTTGGAATGTGTTAAAAATTGATGGAATACAGCTCTGAGCAATCCCATTTGGCTTCGAGTTTAGCTTTACTTTAAATACAGTGTTGGATCAGGTAACCTCTAGAGATCCCTTCCAGCCTTTGTTGTTCTTGAGGAGCATTTGGAGATGGAAGGGGAAAAGTAATAGGTGATCAGCATAACCATGAATTTATCCATAATACATCCTACTAAAAGACCAAGTGTTTTGTTCTGTTATTTAGGAAGTAAAGACTGTTAAAGAAGAGTTGGCTACTAGACTTAATACCAATGAAACTGCTGAATTACTGAAAGAGAAAGAGGAGCAAATCAAAGGATTGATGGAGGAAGGTATGAATTAAAAAAAAAAAAAAAAACAAGTAAAATCTGTAGAATGATTTGAAATGTGCTGTATTTACATTAAAGCCTTTGTTACTTGGCAAAGAGAATGCATCATTTGAAGACTATTCATAGAATAGCAGGCAATAGATGCTAAATTTTGTGTTTTCTTCAGGAGAAAAACTTTCCAAACAACAACTTCACAATTCCAACACTATTAAGAAATTAAGAGCAAAGGAGAAAGAAAGAGAAAATATTAACTCAAAGCAGAACAAAAAGATCAAGGAACTGGAAGAAGAGTTGCAGCATTTAAAACAGGTGAGATTTGCTTTTTTTCACAAAAGCTTTTTAGTTCAGCCTTTTGGGGAAGCTGTAGGTGGACTTATTTTCTTGTTGTGTTTTGCTGATGAACTGTTCTCTACTCTTATTAGTGGAACACTGAGATGCAATTTCAGTCCTTTCAAATTGCAGTCGCTTCTCTTTCCTGCTGTTTGGTTGCACTTGTGCTGCTGATTTTCAGGCTGACCAAATTCAGTTTATTAAATTTTGAGTTGAAAAACCATGGCCAGTTTTTGTTTTTTTTGTTGCTGTTTTTTGTTTTTTTTTGAACTTCGATTTGTTACTCAAATCAAGATCTTAAAAGCTGAAGACGTAACATGAGGAAGTATGTGAAACTGTAGTGGTGGAGTGAGTTCTGGGGAGGTGACCTTTTCTCTTCCCTTTCTATTTTGGCAAAATATTAGATCACTTCAGTCATTTTGTGTAAATTAAGTCTGTATCTGTTACCACATTTGTCATTGTCCTCACTCAGGTGACATGATCTACCCTGTGCTGTGTACTGGAATTAGTCTGTTGCTTCTTGTTGGCACCCTAATAGGTACTTGATGGCAAGGAAGACCTTGAGAAGCAGCATCGAGACAGCATTAAACAACTGAATGTTGTTGTGGAGCGACAAGAAAAGGATCTTGCCAAGCTTCAAGCAGAAGTGGAAGACCTTGAAGAACGGAACAGAAGTGTCCAGGCAGCTCTTGACAGTGCATACAAGTAGGCAGATATTTGTATGTCTGTATTCCACTGTAGAATCTGTTTCAGTGTCTACTTCTTGTGCAGTGCTTCCAAGATGCTGCAGTGATATATAAGAAGTTATTTGTGAAGTCACTGTTCACTTCTTTTCTCTCTCCCACAGAGAACTTGCAGATCTTCACAAGGCTAATGCTACAAAGGACAGTGAGGCACAAGAAGCTGCCCTGAGTCGGGAAATGAAGGCAAAGGAAGAGCTTGGGTTAGCACTGGAGAAGGCCAAGGATGAGGCACGGCAGCAGCAAGAAGCTTTGGCAATTCAGGTGTGTGTTAAACATGATGAATGAAACTTCCTAATTGAACAAACAGAGTGTGTATGGATGGTGCCAGGTACATCTTCCATAAGGTACCAGGCACAAAAGAAGATGGAACTAATTTCTCAGACTTTTAACTAGTTGTCTAAATAAAGTGACTTTGACAGTCTGTTTGCTAAGCGTGTAGTATTCATATCACGATGCAAAGGTTGAGAAGTTTAACTGGACACAGCTTTTTGGGATAAACAAATTTGTCTATCTGTGCATATGTAGAACTTAAGAGTTAAACTTGTAAGCAGACACACCCTGTTTGACTGTGTTTGAGAGCAGCAGAGGACTGTAGCAGTTAGTAGATGGCAATGTTTGGTAAGAGGTTAATGACAGCACCTTGTTTACCTAGGTGGCAGACCTGAGGCTAGCTCTGCAACGTGCAGAACAGCAGGCTGCAAGAAAAGAAGACTATTTACGTCAGGAAATCAGTGAACTACAACAGGTATTCGAGCAAATAAGCAATGCCAATGCATATCTGTAAGGAGGGTTCTCAAAACAAAATGTTTATGTGTCATAAATATCCTGGAAGAGAAGTTTTGTATTCCCAGTTTTTCCCCATATAGAAGAACAATAAAAATGTGTGATCAAAAGATGTTGCCTTTAATATTGAAAACAAAATAATAATTTTAAAGTATTTTAAATGTAATTCTATTCTTCTTGTACGAGACAATGTGCAACCATTAAGTTTGTCTTCTAAGATTTCTAGCTAATAAGTTTTGAATGACTCTTATCTGCTTCTTAAGAGATTTTTTCTTGGTCTTAAAGTTCAGATATTTTGTTGTTAAAGTTCTTCAAGTGGTGATGGTGTCCCAGGGGAAAGAAAACTTATGTTTGGAGCACAAAGGGATTTGTTTGTATGGGCTGAAACTAAGCAGAATCATGCATAAATGTGTAAGTGGAGGATAAGGAGAGAGGTGACCTAAATTAGGGGCACTGTTTGTCTTGCTGCAGTGTTTAGTGTGCTGCCAGTATGAACTGATAATTTGCTAAGCTGATTAATTCAGGAAGCTTCAGGTATCAGAATGCTGAGATAAATTAGGGATAAATTGCTTTCTGCTCTTGAAAATGTAAGTGTGTGGGCTGTTGTTTTGTGATGTATCCAAAAATGGTGCACCTCTCTGCTGGGATTGCAGACTTCACCGTTGTTTTAATCTAAAGGATTTTAGAACACGATGTGTTCAGATGAGTTGTGTGATATCATTTAAATTCACTGTATGGTTTTAATGCTTTAATACATTGAACTTGTGATTTCAGAGACTCCAGGAAGCAGAGAGCCGGAACCAAGAACTAAGTCAAAGTGTTACGTCTGCTACACGGCCTCTTCTCAGGCAGATAGAGAATTTGCAGGCCACGCTGGGAGCACAAACCTCTGCGTGGGAGAAATTGGAAAAGAACCTTTCTGACAGACTTGGTAAGAAGTTTGTAGCTTATGCTGAGCTGTACGACTCTTGTTGGAAGATGTAAAGTAACTGAAGGTAAATTTAAAAGGGCTTAATGTTTGCCCAAGGATCAAGTGAGTGAATCGGAATTGGTGAGCACAAAATGCATTCCTGTAAGGAAGGATGTGTGGGTTGTATTGCCAAGGTACATAACTCACTGATTTTCTTTAAAACAGAGGATAACGGGACTGTAAGATAGAGGTGTTACACTATGCATGTACTTACAGCATCTAAAAGAAGCATGAACACTGAGGCACTGAAGGTAGACTGGCATTTAGGGAAAAAAAGATAGTTGCTTCAAAAATACTGACAAAAATGCCTCAACTTCCATTTTGATGCATAAATAATTGACCCACGTTATAACTGTGTGAGCAGAAAAGGTAAATTCTGTGTTGGTTTGTTTTTGTTTAACATTAGGTGAGTCTCAAACTCTTCTAGCAGCAGCTGCTGAGAGAGAACGGGCCGCTACAGAAGAGCTTATGTCTAATAAAGTTCAGCTGTCTTCTACTGAGTCTCAGAACAGCCGCTTAAGGCAAGAGAATAGTCGTCTCCAGGCTCAGGTGGAAATGGAGAGAAACAAATTGAAGAAAATTGAAGTTGAGAACAGCAGGTAAGCAGAGTGGAATAAACCATCCATTGTAGAAACATCTGCTGCAGCTCTTTGACTTCAGGCTGGATCTTTGAGTGTTGATTTCGATCCCCGGAGTGTTGATAGCACTGTTTAAAAACAAATAAACAAAAAACCCAGTTCTTAAGAAAGCAGCCAACTTCTTGAGGGTACTTTTGTTTCGTGCTAAAGATTGTCTGAAATATGGCACTTCATAATGTTTTAACATCTTGAAGCCGTGCTTTTATTAAGCGACTGTGCTGATAAGGACATTGCCAAGCGTGACATCAGATGGTACAGAGCATCACTTGGACCAGTTTGAATCAGCTGTCCTGGTTGTGTCCCTTCCCAGCTTTTTGTGCTCCCCCAGCCTCCCTGCTGGTAGGGAGGCATGAGAAGCTGAAAAGTCTTTGACTGTGCAAGCACTGCTCAACATTAACTAAAACATTCTTTTGTTACCATGCCTATTTTAATCAAAAATCCAAACCGCAGTATCATGCAAGCCTGTATGAAAGAAATGAACTCTATCTCAGCAACGTCAGAACAAAAGTAAATACAGAATACTTATTTTTTGACTTTTTGTTCCTCTTCAATGGTAGGTATGAGGTTGAACTAGAAGAACTCAAAGATGAGTATGCAAAAACTTTGGAAGATGCAAAGAAAGAAAAGGTATTGTCTATCTCAAGTCTGCTTCAGCTTTAAGCTGTTAATGATACCTATGCCAACAGGGGGTTAACAACCTGCATTTACTTTTGTAGGCACTGCTGACTACTCAGTTAGAAATGGAGAAAATGAAGATTGAACAGGAAAGAAAGAAGGCAATTTTTGCACAAGAAGCAGCAAAGGAAAAGGTACCAAAGCTTGACATTTCTGTTCAGTTTTATTGAGGCTATCATTATTCTCTTAGATATCTAGAAACTAAAACTGTGGCAAGCAGCAAAGCAGCTTTAATGCAGTACAGTATATTCTGAGTGTACACATTAGAAATTTGGCTTTTTCTTTATTGTGCTTGCCTTTTATTTCGACTGAAGTATGTAATTTGTAAAACTTGCTGAAGGAAGTCTTGAGTACTAATTCATTTAACCTGAGAAAGATCAAAACTGCATACTGGTTATTCTGATCTTCTGAAGCTACTTGTTTCCTCTGCTTAGGCTGCTAGCATTGCTTCCACTGAGTTCCTGTTCTGAGTTTCACATAGTTGTATGTAATGTACTGCATACCTTCCACTTTGAGTCACAAAATAGTCTTGTAGTGTCAGTAACTTCTAATTAGCAGTTGATATTCAAGTGAAACTGCTTCTGTTGCTGGTTACTTCCTCTCTCTAGTGTCAAAATGTAATAGCTTTATCCTTGAGAGAGGGTCCTAAATTTTCAGATGCTGACTGTAAATGAGATCAGTCTGTTTGGAAGGTATGACAGTAATACAAGAAATCTCAGAGTTAATTTCTGAAACACACACACAAAAAAACAAAAAAAAAAAAAAGGAAAGAAAAAGAAGAGAAGTAACGTGCACTCCAAAAAGTGGCATACTTTTGGGTTATGTTATTCTTCCTGTGATGCATTTGGGCATCTAAAACTGCTTCTGCATCTCCCTTGCCTACTGAAAGAGAAATTATTTTGTTGTAGTTTGCAACTTGTGTCTTTTTTGCTTGAAAAGTCTAAAGAGTTAAGCAAAGACTAGAAGTGTTAGTAGCACAACAGTTCTTCATCGCTGAACTCATGTTTTTTACTTGGTGAGGAGGGAAGGGCAGTCTGTTTTTACAGAATCTGTCTTTCACCATCTTGTGGACTTTCTTCTGTAGCTGAGTGGTGATAATGTTTGCCTTGTTGGCTTTTTCTTTTTTATTTAAGGATCGGAAGTCATTTACAGTTGAAACTGTTTCAAGCACTCCCACTATGTCTCGCTCTAGTTCCATAAGCGGAGTTGATATGGCAGGCCTTCAGACCTCTTTTCTGTCACAGGTATTGTATAACTGTAATCTTGGCTTTTTTTATGTACTTTTTTTCTCTTCAGGAAGCTTTATTAATGTTGAAAATGACTCTTGAGAACTTGCTTATGAGATGCCTATGACTATAAAGCATCTGTGGAAGACAGCAGGACCACAGTTTTACTGCAGACTGATACACACGTGTATTGCTGCTGAGTCCACATGACCAAATTCAGCTAGAAGGTTTGAATAACACTGGTAGAAGTCAAACCACTGATTTATCTTCACAAGTAATCCTGGTGTAGGGTGCATGCCCACTCCCTAGGCTGCATCATTGACTGTTGTCTTTGTGAAGCCTGCTGCTTTCATGTGGATACAGCTGTCGATGTCCGAGTTAAGTGGTAGTTGTAGGATGTAAATACTTGCCAGTAAGGAGCTATCTCAAACTCTGAATATTCACCTTAAGCTCTTGTTTAAATAAAAAAAAAAAAGAAGGTTAAGTATTGAAGTGCTTGCTTAGCAACAGTATAATTGTAGTTTTTAAGTGACGTAATAAGTTAGGAGAGAGGGGATTTAAAAGTGGTTACTTGTGAGATTTTAAGGTTGTCTAACTTTTCTGTTTGTAGGATGATCCTCATGATCACTCATTTGGACCAACAGCTTCCGGTGGGAGCAATCTTTATGATGCTATAAGGATGGGAGCAGGTTCAAGTGTAATTGAAAACCTTCAATCACAGTTAAAACTAAGAGAAGGAGAGATCTCACATCTACAGGTACTGTAGTTACTCTTATAGAGATGAAATGCAGCACTTTTAAGGTTAAGTGTTAATGCAGTCTGCTGTGTTTTACTGGTTTTATACTCAGAAAGTTTGATTCCTCTCCTTACTGCAGTTCTGTTAATTCAGAAAGCCACTGCACGAGTGACCAAGTAGATAGGGATGAGTAAGAGAAACATTTGTTGCTTCCTGTTTTTGTTTTGGCAAGGACTTATCAAGAAAACTTGCCTGTCTAAAACAAAATGAAGCAAAAAGCACTGATCAGATCTGAGAAAAAAGTGAGAGTGCTTCCTCCAGATGCTATTTCTTAGTCCAGTTCATGAAAAATCCTTAGTGTTTTGAAACATTTAGATTTAATATGAAAAAGGTGATTATCTCTTCCTCCTAATTGTGAAACATTTCCTTTAGCTGGAAATTGGAAACCTGGAGAAAACTAGATCAATAATGGCAGAAGAACTGGTTAAATTAACAAATCAAAATGATGAACTTGAAGAAAAAGTGAAGGAAATACCAAAATTGCGTGCACAGTTAAAGGTAAGTGTATTCGTGTTGTAAATCTGATAGAGTAGGCTTTTTTAAATCTCTATCAACTTACATTAAAATATATCTCTAATCATTTATGATTATGATTTAGATTTCTTTGCTTATTAGGAAACTTGGTAATCCCTGCTTCATGACTGATAGTCACTTTCAAAATGTCCTTGTTAAAAGCATGTGCTTTACATAGGATTGTATGCTCAGTTAGTGAGAGGTCATTTCTGCCACATAAAGGCAATCTTTTTAGTAGGGGAGATGTTTTGATAAACAGCATGGATTTATGAGACTTCGATTTAGAGGCTGAATTCGTCTGTGGCGGTGATATAGTTAACAGGACAAATATTTTAGTCCTCTAAATCCAGCTGTATTCAGAGCATCAAAGCATGAAGAGCTTGCTTTGTGCACCACTGTAAAATAGTCACACTTTGATAAAGTGACACTGCTCATTTTCCCTAGTAGTGTAAAAAAACACTGTTCTAGCAGCAAGCCTATAAGTTGAGTGATGGTCTGATAGCAAACCACATGTTATTGCAGGACTTGGATCAAAGGTACAATACCATTCTTCAGATGTATGGGGAGAAAGCAGAGGAAGCTGAAGAGCTCCGGCTGGATCTTGAGGATGTGAAAAACATGTATAAGACTCAGATAGATGAACTTTTAAAACAAAGACAAAACTAACTCCTGCTGGAGCTCCTCACGTGATATGGTAACAGATTGTGTAGATATTTGTTTATGTAAATGCTGGATTCAAATGTCTTGTTTAAAAAAAAAAAAAAAAAGAGAATTAAGTGTATGATAGAAAGTGTGTCTATACAATAGAGTTCATATGTTGACAAAAATCAATGCTTTAAATGTCTTCTACTGTCTGCAGTTAAATTATTTGTGCAATATTTAAAGAAAATAAGTTATCTCTGTATTTCTGTTTTTACTAAAAAAGGACCATTTTACTTACAAAAACACTAGCAGGAAAGATGGTTGTTACCTCATGAGACAGCACTGAAAGGCATGAGATTTACAAGTGGCCCTTCATATTCTCATAGACCAGTGACAAATGAGAAGTCTTTTTAAAATGTTCTTTAGAAGAGTTTTTTCTAAAATTTGACCAGATCGTTTTTAGTAATGAAATAGCAGTGGTTTGCTGTCTGAAGGATGATTGGATGTATATATATTTTTAAATAAAAGAATTGCTGCTGCTCTCATGTAGTCATTCCTGGTATATAAATAGCAAGGTTTAGACAGAACTGGATTGCTGCTTAATATAGTTTTCAAGCAAGTCTCCAGTGGCTGCAAAGTATTTCTCATGCCATTCCTTGAGTGAGGTATTGGTCAAACAGCATCCACGTGGCTTGATCCTTAGCCATGTTTTGGGTCATGTCAGAGGAAACTTCGGAACTGGACCCTTGGGAATGCTGAGAATCAGGGGAAGAAGCTTGCCTCCTCCTCTTTGCATTCCAGCCAGCAAATATTTCTCTTTATCTCAGAGCTGTGGCTGTGATAGACACTCGTGTGAAATACTCCACAGTTTAAATTCTTGGCCTGTCACACTGTTGCCTCCACTGTGAGGGGTTTCTTTTGCGTTTGTGTTGGAGAACACTGTTTCTGCTTCTGTATTCAGTGGACAGAAGGAGGCAAAGGGTACAAATGATGAGAAGCTGCTTTTGGTGAAAAGCCTCTCAGAATTTATCACTTTGCCATCATAGTGAAATGTTCTCAGTTGCTTTAAGTTAAAAAAGAAAAAGCCCACAACAAAAAGACCAACCCAAAATGAAGGCAGTTATCAGAACTTACTGATTTGCAGCATGCTAAGTCAGCCAGAATTATGATGTGCAACTGTCAGCTCATCCATTTCTTGAAAAGCAAAACAAAGAACAAAAGGACCCCCAAAACAATCCATACACCCTATTTCATGAAGATTAATGTTGAGAAACAGCTGTTATTCTTTGCAGAGAACCAGTAGTTTGCTCTTTTTACGATCTTGGAAGACAAATGGAGCACTTTGAAGATGTATAGAAACCACTTTATGGCTTTTATTTGGACTTAGAACTGCCAGTGTTTCTGAAGGTAACATTTTCTTTCTAACGTGTGTGTGGATGCTCCTTCACATGCAGGTTTGAGCACCTCAAACTGTCTTGTGCTTCCAGGAGGGAAATGAGAAATTAACACGCACACTCAGCGTTAACATTTTTTAGATACAAAAACATTTGAGATTTTTAAATTTTACAAAAGCAGATGTAAATAGCTGTATTGACTCTTTCTGGATTCTTTTATTCTCATTCAGTGCAACATTTACTATCACACAGCAATCCAGGGGCCTACTGTGTCTTAAGCATCAAAGCCTTAGAAACCAGAGTAGCTGCTGGAAGGTAATGTAGACTTCAACGTGTTTTGATTCACTTTGATATCATACCTGTGGGCTTGTTTTGAGGAAATGTTAATGTATACCAGGACATTTGATGCTTGTTGCTATGAAAAGGAAAAAAAAAAAAAAACATGCAAAAAGCAAGCATTTAGGTCACAGTGCTGCCATCCTCTTCCGTTTAAATTTGTTATTTTTAAGTAACCCTCGTGGAAGCAACTAATTTACAGCCCATTCTCACTGCAAGTGTGGAGGAAGGTTATTTAAGGGCTCCCTCAAAGTATGCTGTTCAGAGGGGTCTTATTTCATGCCTTTGGTAAATGAGGGCAAGGCCTCTGCCAGGGGAGGTGGGTTTGGATGAGTACAGAAGGGGCTGGCATGGTGTTGGGTTGGTGTTGCCTCCTCCAGCAACAAAGAAGCAAGCTTTAAAAAACCACACGTATCCATCCATTGGAAAAAGGGTTGGTTCTGTTCATTTTTGTCCCGTTAACATGTTTGTTACAATGCGCGTTTTGTTAAGGGCTATGGAGGTCCTAAATAAGGAACAACGTGGGTTACCCCGCGGTGAAAACGGGACTTTGGTTTCTAATTGTAAAATGTGTACAGACTGTACAGAGCACGGGTCGGGGTGAAATAAAACTTTATGCTAAGCGTGGGCTCCGGTTCTGTCTGTCAAAGGCTTAAAGCAGCGCTGTGGGTTTTTCTTTTCGGTAGGTGAGGACCGGCAGCTTTTGCGAAGGGCTGCCCGAGGGCTCCGCGTATTCGGAATTTCACTTCAGCTCCACGCGAACGAGTCACGGCTATTTGGGTTACAAGGGCCTGATGTATTTATAACCGCACGGCGGTAATGGGATTAGGGATGATAGCGAGAACAGGGGCGAATTTCCTCTGCCGGCAGCAGGAAGGGGCAGCGCCTGCCGTGCCCCGCAGTTCCCCGGGGAGGAAATGGAACAATGCGGCGCTAAGAGGCCGCGCTTCCTGCTGCGCGGCGGCAGGAAAAGGCCCGCTTCTCCGCACGCTCCCCCTCCTCCTTCCCGCCCGCCGCCTCCAGGTGGGCCGGGCCGAAGCCGCGGCGCTGCCCGCGGGTGTGAAGGAGGGGCGGCGCTGCGGCGGCTGAGGACGGAGCTGCGGCGGCTCTGATGGGCCGCGGGGCGCCGAGCGGTGAGCGCCAGGCGGGGGATGGGCCGTGCGGGGCGGGCCGGGGCGCGTCCTGAGGCTGCGGGGCGGGCGGTCCCCGTCCCTCCTCTCCCAACCGGCGTCCGTCGCGGGATGTGCGGCCGCGCTCCGCTCCCCCTCCGTCCCCGTAGGTCCGTGCGTCTGGAGCGCTTCTCCCCAAAGCTGACAGGTAAAGCTGTCCGCGCTGCCGGGCTTTGGCTCTTCGGCAAATTACAGCGTAGAAAAGGCTTTTTAGACACGGGTGCGGCGTTTTTTTTTTCTCCTGAGTGGCTCGGTTCGGGGATGTGTCGGCAGAAGGTGACGTGCGGCAACGCAGCGCAGACCCGCGTGGTCCCTGCAGCCTCCGCGTCCCACCTCGCAACACGGCGGCAGCTGCTGCTGCTGCTGGGCTCTGTTGAAGTCGGACCGCTTAGTGGCGGCTGCGCAGCTTCCCTTCCTCTCTTGCTTAATATCTTCCAAGCCGGAGACTGCAGTCTGTGCTAATTTTAACTTTTAAACTTTTGTTCCTCCTTTTCTCTCCTGGCGCTGCTCTCCCGCCTCCCTCCGTACTGCCCGCTCTGTGCTCGGCTCCCACGGCCGCGCTCGGAGGATCCCTCGGGCTCCAGCTAAAGTAAACACGCCCGTTTTAGTCTGTAGCAGTGCGTAATTACCCGGTGATTAATGATCCCCAGATAATCCCGAGGCTGTACAATCTGCTGTCTCCGTGAGAGTTTACTTTCTGTCAGACAAAAAGGCCGCCCCAACGACACAAATGAAAACACTCGGAGTACACGGCGCTGCTACCCGGTATGCCTGAAATGTGCTCTGCTGCACTCACGTTGCCTTTTTTCCTCACGCAGAAGCTGTAAGTTGCCATGTTCATCTTGCTGATGTTTGGATTGCTACTGCGAGAAATCCTGGCTAATTCCCGAGATGAAAATCTCACTGAGCTCAGAAGTGTTCCGGAAGAGCCTATGTACAGCTACAGGACTGTCAACCTACCAGACGAGCACATCCCATACTTCCTGCACAACAATCGGCACATTGCTGGCATCTGCAAGCAGGACTCTCATTGCCCTTATAAAGTAGGTTTGATGTCGTTGTGGTTTTGAAGCAGTTTGTTGGTGGACTTGTAGTGGTTTCCTTGCCGGTGAGTTGGTTTCGTTTAGGAATAGTGATAGGATGAGGGGGAATGGTTTTGAGTTGAGACAGAGATTTAGTTGGATATTAGGAAGTTTTTCAGCCAGAGGGTGGTGAGGCATTGGAACAGGTTGCCCAAGGAGGCTGTGGATGCCCCATCCCTGGAGGCATTCGAGACCAGGCTGAATGTGGCTCTGGGCAGCCTGGTCTGCTGGTTGGCGACCTGCACACAGCAGGGGGCTGGAACCGGATGAGCACTGTGGTCCTTTTCAACCCAGGCCATTCTATGATTCTATGAATAGGAACTGCAGAGGTGGTGAACCTGGGGATCGGGGCTGTGTGTGGCTCAGGGCGATTCCAGCATCTTCTGGGATGGAGCTGTGCTCCCTCTTCTCTGCTTTTCTGCAGCACTGCAGAACCAGCTCTGCTGGGTTTGCCTGGCGGTACTCTCAGCCTGGAGCACTGTGCTTTAGGTGAGCTCAGCTTTGTTGTTCATAGCTGTTGGCAACCTGAGAATTTTGGGATCCTATTCACTGGTTTAGGAAAATTAGTTGTCCTGAAAAGATATATTAATGGCAAGAATAACACTGCTATGCATGTGCCTCCTGTGGGCCCTCTGCTGTGTGTAAGGAATTGGAGTGTTCCCTCTGAAACAGAGGTCTGTTTTCAGGCAAAGATCTTAATGCAAGATTTGAAAAACAAGATCTGTTATTGAGAGATGGTGTATAAGCTGACAGCTCTGATTGTTTGCTATATTCATTTATTTTGTGTTACAGAAATACTTGAAGAAATTAAAATCCTGCTGGGGCTACGAGAAATCTTGCAAATCAGATCACAGGTTCAGTTACCCAGTGTGTGATTACGTAGAATCTGGATGGTAAGCTTCATCTTAAACTTATAAAGTGCAGTATGTTCAAAAAGAAAAAGAACAAAAAAGTGTACTGCTCACTTTTGTATCAGCTGTGAAGTTGACGTTACTGTGGTCATTAGAGTCATGTCATGCTGTGGTCATTAGAGCCATTAGATGGAGAGCTGTCCATCTGTGTACAGATGCACATATACACATATACACTGTATGTATACTCAGTGTACATCTCTCAGTGTGACTTTCAGCTTTTTAAGGAAGAAAATCCTGCTTGAAATACTTCCTACCACAATGTTTTCCTTATCCTGATTTAGCATTCAATTCAGATTCTTAAAATAACTCCACAGTTCCTTTTCTTATCTTTAAAAACAGACGAAAAAAATGTTTAAAAGAATTAGAGCCTTTTACAGCAGAACTGCTTTAAATTGGCATTGATGTTTTCACTGAGGTGTAGCTGATATGTTGCTTCCTGCTTTGCATCTTGAATGTCAGTATAGTACCTGGCTGGCTTTTTTGTTCCCTTTCACTGGGGTTAAAAAAAAAGAAGTTATCTGTTAAAGCCATTACTAGAATTGAGCAATGGCATTTTATTTTCCTCTCATCAGGGCGAATGACATCGAGACGGCCCAGCAGATATTCTGGAAACAAGCTGACTTTGGTTACATTCGAGAGAGGCTGAATGAAATGAAAACCCATTGTAAGCCTGCAGTAACAGTAGGTGTTTTCAATAGGTATTTTGCTTTTCACTTTGTTTTAAACAGAATTGTTATTATCGATAAAATGTATTTATTTTTTTTAACAGGGAGATTCATCTCTGACCTGTTCTCAGTTCCTTCAGCATTGCAGAGCAACAAACTTGTACATCGATTTAAGAACTGCAAAGAGAAACCACGAGAGGTCCGATTCTGTGTTGCTGGAGTAAACCTAAGAGGTGGCAGGGGGAGGGGCTCAAAGAGTTTGTTGAATGGAGCTGTGCGTATAGCTGGTGTGCATGTTGAGCTTTGCAGAGCCCGTGCTCAGAAGCGTATTGCTGAAGCCATGAGGTCTATGTTGCTAAAGCTCGACTGCTGTCTGCTGCTGCTGGCAGAATGGATTATTATAAAACTTGTTGTGTTTTTTGAGTGATGATGGGTGATTAAGACACTTCCTTCTCCTGACCGAGCAGAGGATAATGTTTCTGTATCTTGAGACATTCTTTCTGCATATTCAGACACATCCTTTCTTGTTCAGGTGGGGCGCAAGGTAGAGTTGTTTCTGTATGAGGCACTGTGAAAAAAGAACTCAGGTTTTAAATGTGTACGAAGCTTTGCTGACCTGAGACTAAATAACATTGCCTTGAGTATGCAATCTTGATTGCAGAGCACTCATGGCACTGTTGCACAGAGGCTGATAGACTTTTATTCATTTGCAATAGATTCAAAGAAGACTTTTTCCAGAAGGGAGAAATTGGAGGTCATTGCACCCTTGATGTTAAAGCATTTTTAGCTGAAGGTCAACGCAAGAGCCCTCTGCAATCTTGGTAAGATTCACTTGTTGGGGCTGATCCCAATTCACTTCTCCATTTATCTTTTCCTTGGCATTAGCAGCTGTGTGTGAGGTGTTTCATTCTGGGGAATTGGTCGTTCCTTTCTAAGGTCAATTTGTGTTGTTTTTTCTAGATATCTCTGTAACTACATCTAGGCAGAGTGCTGTTCTGAGCTATGTTACTTTATAGTTGTACCTTTTCTGCCTAATTTATAGCAGGAACAGGCATAGAACCATTTTGTAATTAGATTTCTAATGCGTAAGTGTTTCTAGCGATATTAGCCCTGTGCCTAGTTTGCCTATGGAAGGAGTCAATTCTTTTGTTGAGAAATATCTTGAAGTTGGCATTTGTGCCTTAATTTTGATAGTCCTGGTGACGTTGGGCCTGGTCTGGATATATATTCATATACTGTTCCCAAGGAGCCTGTATTTGGAATGTGAAATGGGCAGCACTCTAGAGGCTGAGTAGGAAGTGCAAGGATGCTTTGGTAGTAGGTGGCTACCATGGGTTTCGTGTTAGCACTTCAAAGCTGAGCTGACAGCTAACTGATAAAGTATGAAGGAAGGGAACTACTAAAATGCCTATAGGAATTGAGTTTTTATGCTTTTTTTTCATGTTTTCAATTATTTTTTTTCCACTTTTTGGATGGATGGTCAATTTCAGTTAAGAAGAGCTGTAGAGGAAGAAAAGGCTTTTCTTCTGTGCCTACTGTTGTCATTTCTGCTGCTCATCCTTGTTTACATCCAGGGGTAATAAATATTGCATCTGTATTCATTATTCTGAGCAAAGCATGAAGATCTTGCTGAAGTCTCTGGCAATGCAGATCAAGTTGGACCCACAGATGTTCGCTCTGAGGCTCTTTGTTACGTCTCTCCTGCCTTGATTTGTACATCAAAGATGCTGTTTGCTCCTGAGATCAAAGGCAATGTTTAACCTCTTGGAGATCATAACCTGAAGAACCTTCC